CCAGTTTGATATGGATTTCATTTTCCCATATTTGGGGAAGTTGGAGAGAATACCGTATATATAATCTTTTAAAGCAAGTTATCAATTCTCCTTATAAGAAATTGAAACTGAGCTGCCAGTTCCAGCTCTAAGAATGCTTTGGAGTTATGGTCAAATGTTGCCCTTGTATTAGTTTTCTATTGTTGCTGTAACAAAGGACCACAAAAGTGATGGCTTAAAGAGAGAAGATGCATTTGTTATTGTACAGTTCTGTAGGTCAGAAGTCTGACAGGGCCTTGCCAAGCTAAAGTCAAGAGTATCAGTCGTCCCTCCCTCCTCCAAGCCAGCAATGCTGAGCTCGGTGCCTCTGTCTTCCTCTTCTATTTTTCTTTTAAAAAATGATTTATTTATTTATTCATACAGAACTGGGGTACAGGCCAGAGGTATGGTGGATGAGAAGATTCACCAGAGACAGAGTCGGGAGCAGAACAGGCAGATCCACTGAAGTACACTGCTGAGGGGAGCAGTGGGCAGGTCAGGAGAGGTCTGCCACACCAAGTGGGTCAGCTTCCTAGCAGGGGATTGAACTCATGCTGCAGTGGCTTCTGAGAGCTTCATAGTGTGGTGCCATTGCACCACCAGGGAGAGCCCCTCTCTTCTGCTTTTTTTTTTTTTTTTAAAGATTTATTTATTTGTGCATACAGAACAGGGGTACAGGCCAGAGGCTCAAGGGTGGCGAGAGGCTACACCAGAGACAGAGTGGGGAGCTGAACAGACAGATAGATGAAGTACACTGCTGAGGGGAGCAGTGGGCGGGTCAGGAGAGGTCTGCCACGCCATGTGGTCACCTCCGGGCAGGCGGGGATTGAACTCATGAGGAAGTGGCTTTAGCTTCTCAGTTCAGTGCTTTAACCCGCTGCGCCACCAGGGAGGGCCCTCTTCTGCTTTTAACAACCCTTGTGATGACAGTGGACATGCCTGGGTAATCCTTATAGCCTCCCTATTTTAAAGTTAGCTGACGAGTGACTTTATGACATCCATGGCCTTAATCCCCCTTTGCTGTACACACAGATCTCCACAGGTTCAGGTGACCAGAATGTGGACACCTTTGAGGGACCATTAGTTTACCTGCCACAGAATTTCCAGCTGTGTTATACTTTCCAGCTGTGTTATGCAAGCTTGCCCATAGCAGACTTTTAAAGCGCTGCCTAAAATTGAAAATTATTTTCTTAAATTTTAAATAAAAGGTTACACTTTTATAACATAATAATAATAATGATAATAAATAGCAGAATGCTTCATTGTTTCAGTTTTCTCACTTTTTTCTGTAAGTCAACACTCCAAATAATTAGTCTTTTGGAGGAATTTCCAGCCTGTTACCTGAACAGAATAATACTTGCTTTAAAAAAATATCCTGTATGTGTTCTTTTCTTTTTTTGCTGATATCTGTTGGATGTTCCATCCTAAATAGTGATATGTTTGATTACTTTTTACCCATATATGTTTTCCCAGATGAAATTTACCAACATTAGAAATTTTGTGTTATGTATGGAGAGTGAACACCTGAGTGAATGCTTGACATTGATACTTTAAAGGACATCATCTCAATGTCCTAAATTGGTATCTATCTGTAATTGTTCAATACCAACAATGGCTGGCTATTAATTCAACCTTTTACTCTAAAGCAGCCTAATTCTAGTGACTGCCTGTGGGTTGTGTGCAAGCTATAGTTTATGTTCTTTTAATGAGAACTTAACAGACCTTCCCTCCAGGAACTATGCATGGTCCTGCTTAGTGTCTGAGTGTCCCAACCCCACAGGTATTCACTCTAGGACAGGCTACTTGACGCAGCAATTGGTGATCTGCCATCTTTCCTCCTCATTCTCAGGCCCTCTGCCTACAGACAGCTGGCTGGACTCCAGGCTGGTCTCTGTCCCCTGACTTGGCTTCTCATATCCATGTCTTTGGGTTCATCGTGTCCTTCTTACTAAAGGGAAACTCCTCTTCTGTGATGGACTGGATCTGGGTGGGGTGGTGACAGCACAATCCTGATGTAGGAGCCCAGGTATGAACCCAGAGGCAGACTCAGTATCAGCACGTTCTAGAAGCTTCTTAGGATGAAGGGTCTTCCCCCAGCTCTACTGTGTGGCAGTTAGCTCCACAGGTGATCTACACCTGCAGGAGAAAGTTGAAGAGGCTCTGGGTTGAAGGTTCTGTTCCCCCCCACCCCACTGGTGTGTCAGCTCAGGCTGCATGGCCATCCTATAGACCAACTCTTGAGTCATAGACGTTTACTTTCTCACATTTCTGAGGCTGGAAGTCTAAGCTGGAGGTGCCAGCTAGCTGCTTTCTTTTGTGGCCTCATTTTGGCTTGCAGCAAGCCTCCTCCTTGCCTCCTCATGTGGCTGTCCCTCTGTGTAGCCCCTCCCCTGGGCTGCCCTGTGCTCACACTAATGGCCTAATCACTTCTTTCCAAACATAGTTATATTCTGATTGCTGAAGGTTAGGTCTTCAACATATAAGTTTTTTTTTTAAAAATTTATTTATTTATGCATACAGAACTGGGGTACAAGCCAGAGGTGCAGGGGCTATGAACGGGTTCACCAGCGACAGAGTGGGGAGCAGAACAGGTAGATTGATGAAGCACACTGCTGAAAGCGAGGCAGGAGAGGTCTGCCGCGCCATGTGGGTCACCTCCAGGGCCGGGTATCAAACTCATACTGAAGTGGCTGCAGCCAGCTTGCAGTGCTGCATCCTGACCCGCTGTGCCACCAAGGAGGGCCCTCAGCATATAAATTTTGTGGGGGACACAAAATCCAGCCCAGGACACCATTTAAAAGAAACCAAGGCTCAGAGAAGCACATGACAAGTGTAGATTCACCTGCAGGCCCACGGCCCTTCAGGAGGCCCCATGGCACCGGGAGAGGCTGGGGGTCTGGTGTCTGCAGCAAGGCTTTAGCTTTGCTCTCATTACTTCTGGCATTTTTGGATTAAAGCCTTCACGTCCCTCAGCCTTAGTTTCCTTTTCTGTGGCGTGAGAGTGATAAAAGGCTCACATGGTTGAGAGGAGCCCATGCATCTCCACGCCTCCCCCCACCCCTGCTTCTGCACTTTGCCAGCTATCAAAATCCGCTTATATTTATCACCAGCCAAATACCCTATTATTTTCCCCAGGTGACTGGCATTCGAGTAGCTAGAAAAGCCGAGGGCTTAAAACAGTCGCAGTGGAATTTCAGACTTCAGCTGGTGGGTTCTCAGGGCCTGTTCTGGAAGCTGGGCCTGTGGAAGGGCTGAAGGGAGACCGCAGTGACATGGCCTTCCACCTGGTGCCTGTGGTTCTCACTTCTAAATAACAGGCTGTGCACAATTTGATTTCATTTCACTCTAAATTGTCCAGTCTGCAGCCAGGGATGCACAGTGGAGCCTACTAATCAATTCTGCTGTGAAATAAGCCGGTGCCCTAACGTAAAGGCACTTAGCTAGGAGACCCAGCTGCAGAGTATTAAGGCAATGATTGTAATTTGTCTTTGGAGGTTGGATGGGTGTGAATACAAAATTGTTTTCAAATGTTTCAGCTGTTGTTTCGATTTATGAAGCATGCGTTCTGTTAAGGTTTCCTCTACGCACTTTGCTGAGGCAGGGAGGTGGAGAGGATGCTTCTCCCTTCTCCTGTGCAGAGGGACTCAGAGTGGCCTCACAATTTGGACTTATAAACTGAGGCTCAAGTTGGGGAGAGTCTGGCAAGGTGGGAACATCACTGCTCTGAGACAGAGAAACTCCATTTCTTTCACCCAGCCTCTATCTACCCAAATGCTTTAAATCCTGCCCAGTGGCATAGCTGGTGACCTTCTCACAGGCCCGGTCAGTTTGGCAGGCTAGGGAGAAGCATGTTCTTTTAACTTAACCTGGCACTGGCTCGGGTGCTAAGGTATCCTCCCCAGGTCCAGAGCCAGATCCTTCAATGCGGACACTTGTTCAGCTGGAGGATTTCCCAGTCCTCTGTTCCCCTTGTGCTTTTGATCACGTGACCAGGAGAGCGTTTGCCCCCCAGAACACGGGAAATGCCTGGAGCAACTTGGGCGGGCGAGTGGTATGTTTTGGGGAGGGACTGTGTATTGTTGAGAAACACATAGAGCAGCCCCCACAAAAAACACTGCTTGGCCCCAAATGTCTATACTGTCCATGTTGAGAAGCCCTGGTCTAAAGCCGCCAAAGGGAAGAGCCTCCGGCGCTCACAGCCCTGCTTCTCCCGTCTCTGCCCGCCGTGCACACTGGTGTGTCTGTGGCTCCATAACCCTGGTGGGATCCACTCGCATTCTACTTATTTCACTTACCGTTGTGTCCTGAGCTTTGTCCCTGTCACCTCGCTGACTTCGCAGTTCCCATTCTTAGTGGATGTTATGCAGACTCAGTTTTACCTGAACTGTCCTTGGTGGTGGCCATGTAGCTGTCCCCAAGGGTCTCCGCAGCAAGGGGGTCCATGCACACCCACTGTGGCCAGCCCCCTCCTCCTCCTCAGCCGAGGCTGATGCCCTCATAGTCTCCATCATCAAAGGCCTTTGTGAAGTACCTTGGTTAAATTATCTGGCACTTGGGGCTTGCCTGCAGAAATCTTCCCACTGGCCCCTGACATCTGGAGCATGTTGGCTCCAACAGACAGCCTATATGTCAACCAACTACAAAGGCAGCCAAAGACCTGGCTGTGGGCCCCAGGCCAAGGGTGCAAAACCAGAATCCTAGGCAATATTCATGCCAAAAGTAAGTCAGAATCAAAATGGGCTGGATTTTCTTCAGCTCTCCCCTCCTGCTGGCTGCAGTGTCTTGGGGGGGGGGGTGCGGAGAAGTTATGGGAGGAGTGGGCAAGTGCAAGGGAAGGGAAGGAGAGGAGTAGCTTGACAGGTCAAGGATTGGGGCCTCAAGTTCAAGGGCACAGCCTGAACCAGAGTCCGCCTGTCCCACCCGCACCTCCCCACTGCCCCTGACTGAGTGACATCTCATGCCCCTTTCTCTTCCTGCTGCAGGTCTTCCATGAACAGGGCATCCTCTTTGGCTACCGACATCCACAGAGCTCTGCTACTGCCTGTCTCCTCAGCCTTTTTCAGATGACCAATGAGACCCTCAACATCTGGACTCACTTGCTACCCTTCTGGTAACTTCCAGCCCTCTTGACTCACCCATCTTATTCAGGAACCCTGAAAACTGGGCTTCTCTAGACAAAGCTTGCATTAGTAGAGCTGAAATTTCACGCCAGGATGTTGGGGACCCTCCCTAGTGCTTGGATGTAGAGATGTTAGGGCTAACTGCAGGGGTGAGCTTAAAGGCAGGGGTTGTGGGGAGGAATGGAGGTGTTCCTGTGTCTCCCCAGTCTTTCCTGCTCCAGTACTTCATCTAATAAATGATAAGCATCATGCTTTAGAGACTTTTTGGGCTTCCTGAGCCCTAGTTAAAGTGTCCTTAGCTCAAGCAAACCATGGTTTGTCTCTGAGCTTAACATTTTCCCAATTACAAAACAGAAGTGGCAGCTGTGCCTCTCCCAGGGTTGCTGTGAGAAGATGATGGATGAGGCATGGACACAGCTGTGAGTGCTTGAGATGGTTCTGGAACCATGGCAGTTTGGGGCACTTGGCATCTCTTTACGGGCACCCACTAACAGCAAATTTTGGGGGAGCATGTAGCAGGAGTGGGAGCTGCCAGGAAGGTGGGCGCTGAAGACCAGCTTCGCTTCACAAACTCATGCGTGTACCCTAGAGTGGCAAGTGGGGCCCACCTTGTCTGGGCGGGCTGTGCCCAGAGCCCAGCACAATGACCTCTCAGCTGCTTGACCTGTGCTGGGCAAGGACCCCACCGCATGGCCAGGAAACCACCCAGATGGAGTAACAGCATAGCTGGCAGGACTTAGGAAAGCCCAGAGGAAGATGCCCACAGCAGGGACGGATGAGGGAATCATGAAAAGATAAGAAGAGCCTATGTCTGAGAGACAGCAGATAGCTTAAGCTGTATTTCTACCAGGGCAGGCAAAGAGAGATCACAAGTGTGGCCATCACGCCCGCCTCGCACGCCCCTGTGTGAGAAGCTTGGTAGCTTCCTTCCCTGGGAGAAGGTGGGCAGAGGCGGCTCTCCAGAGGCAGGCAGCTTTGTGGGCAGCACCACTGGCATGGGCTGTAGGTTGGACCTGAGGCACGACTGTGTGATATGGTCATGGACATGAGACCCAGAAAGCGGGCTCAGCTGAGACTCAGTTGTGGGACTAAGGCATCTGGAAACGTGACTGTGATGTTAGTAGAGGAAGCGGTAGAAGAGGAATGAGAAAACAGACCTGTGTCCTCTAGACTTGCAAGTTCTTCTCGGGGGCTGCTTCTCTTTGAGAAGTTTTCCTGCTGGGGGGCATAGACGAGCCTCCAGGATGTGGCCAGGCCAAATCTGGGATCCTGTGAGAATGGTTGAATGCAGTGAGGTTATTTAGCATAAAGTTGGAAGTGGGGGGTGTTTTTGAAGACTGACGTAAGGTATTTGATGAGGTGTGATTTCTGGGGTCCCACTAGGGAGAACTAGGGTTGATCCAGTAGAGATTCCTAGGAGACAGAGGTCAGTTCAGTGAAGAGCTTTCCAACACGCAGAAGTCCTTGGGGGTGGTGAGCTCCCCATTCCTGGGAGCATGCATGGGTGCAGGCCAGAGGAGCAGGGGCAGTGAGAGGATTCACCAGAGACAGAGTGGGGAGCAGAGCAGGCCGACTGACAAAGTACACTGCTGAGGGAGTCTCCAGCCTTTGAGCATGCTTCCTCAGAGGCTGGAGACTCCCTTGGTCAAGAAGGCTGTGAGTGGGACCCTCGCACAAATGCAGCAGGGAGATCGGACTAGATACACCTAAGGGTCGTCTCCTGCCCAAAATGAAGCCCACCTCCTTCTTCACTTGTGGCATCTCCTCCAGTGAGAATATGTGGGATGGATGTGCCACCCCGGGGGTGGAAGGCAGAAGATCCCGGATAGGACAGGAGAGGTCGGGGTGGTGCTGTATTCCAGGTTCTTCGCGTGGAGGTTTGTAAGCGCACTGTCTGTGACAGACGTCTGGAATGACAGCTACTCCTGGCCTCTGCTTGTGTACATGGGCACGAGCTGCGTGTACCCCTTCGTGTCCAGCTGTGCACATACCTTCAGCTCCATGTCCAAGAACGCCAGGCACATCTGCTACTTCCTGGACTACGGCGCCGTCAACCTCTTCAGCCTGGGTACGTGGGGTCTCCCTCACCTGCCTGCTCTTGGAGCTTGGCCGCCTGGAGCGAGCTGGGGTCTCCCTAAGGCTTTGGGGGCTGGATGGAGGGGTGTGCCAGGGCCCATTCAGATTGCTGCTGAGTGTTTTGCAAGAAACCCACCCAAAGGTGTGCTGGCAAGTCTAGCCACTGGCTGTCAGGGGCCAGAGCCCTGACCTGTGGTGTTAGCTGTGTCGGGGGTAAATAGTTCACCAAACCCAACTTTATGCATCAGACAGACACCCCAGCACAGGGCTGGGGAGGTGCGGCAGCACACCCTCACAGAGTGCCCGGCACACCGCCACCCAGACGCAGGCACTGCACGACTTTATTACTTTTGTTAATGGGATTTGTTTCGTAAGTTCTTGCCATGTAAGTTCTAACGATGACTTTATTTGACGATTGACTCCCAAGACCCC